CAAGAAAACCTCAGTTTTTTCAAAATATCAAACACGTATGCAGTATACATGCATAAAATTTTCCCGAATACCTTGTTTCATGTATAAACGTATATTTCTAACAAATCAAAACATAGAGTATGTGCAACACTTTTTTTCAAAATGATATTGTCATTCCTTTATTCCCTTGTAATTGTGGAATAAGGCGGAAACAATAAGGTTGTAAATCTACAAATCTGAATTTAAGAACAAGAAATAATATTAAATGTAAATTAAAAGAAAGCTTTTTTCCATGAACAAAGCTCTTTTCTCTTCAATTGTATAAATGTGAATTAACTTAAATTTCTTTTTTTTATTTAACCCGTTTTTCTGCCTATTTCTGCACACGCCTTTCTCAAACTTTTAAATAAAAATTTCATTTGTCGAACATCATAAATTCTGGATCAAGGATCCCATCTCACACAAGATTGGGGGATATCTACATCACCAACCAAGTGGTTCAAGTGGTGAACTTATTTTATGTCAAAAGAAAGATCTTCTTAATTTGTCTCGAATCCCAAGTTTTATCAAATAAATTGAAGGACTCGGGCATATTAAAATGCGGAAAATACATTTATATGCGAAATATATTAGAATAATATTATACAAAATTTGTTATCTTATCATTTATTGCCATACAATCAAAACTTGTGGGGTAGAGGTATATGCGTTGAAGTGCGTGATTGTGGGGCAACGGTATATGCGTTAAAATACGTGATTGCAGGGATGGGGGTTAAGGTAGTACAAAACACCTGTGGATTCTATTTTAATCAATTTCCTAAAAAAAAAGTACTAGAGAAAAAAAATGTAAAGAAGAAAAGAATAACAATACTATATTGACAACAATGAATGATCTCTTTAAGAAAAATAATAAGTTTTCACATGATTGCGTCATACTTTATGAAAATATCAGAGAATCTTATACATGTATATTGGTCACTTGGGAGCTTATATTTTGGAATGTGATTACGCTATCTAAGTGGAATAATCTAGCATGTAACAGTCTGTTATTAATTGCAGTGGAACTTTTGTTCCATAAATAGTAGAGGGCTGATATTTGGACACATATATAAGGAATATCTCCATGCTTTATGAACTACAAATGTCAAGGTCATATAAAGAGGTCAAATGACAAATATTGTGAATATCTACTGAATCTTTTAGGTTTTTTGCCATTGATTTTTTTAATCGCCAAAATATCTGAAACCATTGGTTCAATATTATTCATTTATACCCTTCTTATTCTAAGACCAATTTGAATCTTTTCCGGTATCAATACTGATTCAGAGAAACAAAAAGGTTATTATTATTATTAAAATTATTACAAATATTTGCAATAGATCAATTGAAAACTTGAAAATGAGGTTCATTTTCAAGTCGAATGTCTGATTTCACAATCTTTTCATAGGGATCTGATAGGCTATTTTTCAGACTATGTGGATAAGAAAATGTGTGGTTGAATTTCTTTCATATCATCTATTAAGAATGATTTTGTATCCTAGAAAAAAGTATCAAAATTTCAGAAAAAATAAATTAGAGGAAAAATTTGGCCTATCAATTGTGTCTCACATTAAATGGAATGTCATTACAATATATATATATATATATATATATATATATATATATATATATATATATATATATATATATATATATATATATATATATATATATATATATATATATATATATATATATATAGGTACATGTATCAGTACTATAAAGTAGTTAAATAAGTTTCACTAAAAGTTGCACAATTAATAAATGTAAAAATTTCAGTCAAACTTTTGCAACAAATTAAATTTCTTTCTTACAGGATTTGGTTTGGATCGCACTTAAAAGCAAATACACACGTATCAGAGTAACTGGCATCATCTCCAAGTGCAACTGTTGTTACATTATTCAGCACTTTGGAAAAAGGAATTTTGAGTAGTCTACTCTACGATCGTCGAAAAAAATATATCGTATATTTGAAATGGATTATTTCCTTGCAGTCATGGATACATATAAATCATATACTGCATGTGTGTTAGTGAAGGACTTTAAGGAAGTTAATAATTTTGATAAACCTTTTGTTACTGACATGAGGAAAAAAATCTTGCTGAGCTGACTACCATTGAAAAAAAACTTTAATAAATAAATACGAGTATATGTTTAAAAAAATTTAATTCAAAAAATTTAGGCATATTTAATTTTAAAATTCTTTATAATAAACCAAATGTTTAAATGTTCAATGATGTTATGTTCCTGTAATATGGATACATTTCAAGTTGAAAAGTTTTCTATATGTATATTCCATTGCCTAAATGTGCTAATGAAATTTTCTAGAAAACTCATCAAATATATTTTTTCTCTTCAAAATTTGTTTTCTTGAAATATTTTATCATTTAAACTAATTGATTGTGATCCAATATTGTGGAACTTCAACAAGTTGAGCAACTGAACACCTTGTTTTAAAGAAGACATTGTTAAGGCTAAACGCGTTAAAAAAATGTGAAAAAAATTATGTGTAAACGTGTTATGTGTTTAAGAGAGAAAGTGTGCGTTTTCGTGAATGTTGCAGAATAACCTCCGAGGTCGAGAAATGTTGTTTGAAAGATAAAAGCCGAGGCGTTATTTCGAGACCTAGGAGGTTATTCTGCATCATTCACGACAACAAGGACTTTATTTATATTCTACCATGTATAACTACAATCGCTAAACTACGGAAATTATTTCCTCTATAGAGAAACAATTTAGGCCACCATGTTACACTGTTTCATTTAACACCAGAGGTAAAATTTGTTTGCTAAATACCTGTGTATAGAATGCACACGATTTGAGCTTTCGTTACATTAAAAATAGGCTTCTTCAATTACAAATTTGTTCGTAATATGTTTTGATCAGTTAAAATGAATATACAATAACAACATCATGTTTCTGTTTTACTGCTAAAATCACGTTGTTTAATGTGTAGGGAGGTCCGTGGAATAGCCCCGCTTACCTATAAAACCGACATTCATCAGAAACTTGATGCAATTTACATTGTTTATACTGCGAAAGACTACACACCGATGCTGTCTAAACAAGTATTTCATTCTACAGCCAGACATGCATTTGAATTGTTCAGATTTGATACGTGTTTCTGATCTGATAATTTTTTGATGACGTTCGTGATTTATTGGAGAATAATGTCCGCCGGTTTCCTTTGATGTGTTCAATAATCGTGGTAGAATTAGATATAAGTGTTTATGGAGAAAACGTGTTTAGCAGCCAAGCACATTTAGTCTAAACGTGTTTAAAAATGAGGCATGTTTAGAGCTTAATGTGTAAAAAAACAAGATGTGTTTCTGAAACACTGATGCCCCCGAATGGCAACATAATGAGGATTAAACTTTTCTCAGATGTAAATTTATGTAGGGTCTCCTAGCTGGAAATACAATTGTAAAACATGAAAGCCCTATCACCATCTGTTCCCAATTTATGGCCAAACTAAAGTTTTTTTCATAATTCCAGAAATCTTCAAGATCAAGGTCAGACGGTCAAGGTTATTGGTACGCAATCAAAGGTCTTTCCACAAAGACTACATATTGAAGTATGGAAGCCCTAGCCCAAACCATTTTAAAGTTATGGCAAAGGTTCAAAAGATTTTACTAGTAAGTTAAACTCCAAGATCAAGGTCAGAAGGTCAAGGTTATTGTTATTGAATAAAATATCTTTTCACAAGAATTATATCTGTGAAGTATGAAAGCCCTAGCCCTTACTCTTCAAAAGTTATTGCCAAGGTAAATGTTTTTTCATAAGTCTGGATATCTCCGAGGTCAAAGTCAAAAGGTCAAGGTTATTGTCGCCAAAAAATACTATAACTAAAAATAATACATATGTGAAATATGGAAGCTCTAGCCTTAGCTATTTATAACTTATGGCCAAAGTTAAGATTTTTTGAAAGTAGGTCAAACTCTAAGTTCAAGGTCAAAAGGTCAAAGGTCTTGATATAAAATGACAGATCTTGTCACAAAGATTTAATATTTAAAGTATGAAAGCACTAGCTCATACCCTTTTGAAGTTATGGTCAAGGTTTATTTTTTAAAGTAGGTCAAACTCCAAGGTCAAGGTCAAAGTTCTTAGTATCCAATGAAGCCCCTTCTTACAAGGATTACATATCTGAAGTATGAAAGCTCTAGACCTTACCATTCAAAAGTTATTGCCAAGGTTAAAGTTATTTTCATTAGTACGTAAATCTACGAGGTCAAGGTCAATATTCGAAGTTGTTGAAACCCAGTCAAAGGTCTTGCCACAAAGAATATATATGTGAAGTTTAAATGCCCTTGTATCTGCTGTTCAAAACTTATGGACAAGCAAAGATTGGAAAATTTTGTTTAAAAGTTGGTCGAATTATAAGGTCAAAGTCAAAAGGTCAAATGAGGTGTTACCCAAAAAAGGTCTTATCACACGGAATGCACATGTGAAATATGAAAGTCACAGCCCCACTAAATCAAAAGTTATTGACAAAGTTAATGTTTTTGCGGACAAACAGAGTAACAGCTACATGTAGACAGCTAGACAGACAGTTGGACACGACAAAAACTATATACCCCCGAAACTTCGTTTACGGGGGCATAAAAATAAAACAATTTGGCGTTTAGTTTTGTGTTTAGCATCTAAACACTGTTTTTACAGTTATATACCCTTTTATCTACATGTGTTGATATCTTTATCAAAATTTCAATGCAAAACAAGATATCTCCAAGATTATGTTTCACTCTAATTTTACCAGCTAAAATATTAATTCAAATCTAAAAACAACAAAATAAGATAAAAGTTGTTAAGAAAAACGCAATTTACAGACTTTGGGTCACTTAACTTTATTATGACATTTCCAAATGCTGGGTATCTCTTAAAGACCACTTTCTTTATTGATTGAATCTTCAAAGCTGCCATTCATGAAAAACATGAAAGACGATGTTTTTTCACATAATAAATAAAAATTTTTCTTACCTTACCATTTACTACGTTTTGCCAAATTTTGAACAAAATATCTCCGATCCGTCCATTTTGTAACAGCTAACAGGAGATTTTGCCGAACTTTGTGATAATGTGTTTTGTAATTTTCAGAAGCGGAATCTATTACAAAATGTTTATGACGCTCTCTTTCCCGTGCTTATGAAAAATATCACGAGATACAACCGCTTCAAATCTGATATTTTTCGTGTGCAAATCAAATACAATGTAGTTACAAGCTATACGGAAGTCAATTTCACGTAAACCAGATAAGGACCCTTTAAATTTTTTTTTGAATTTCCCTTAAGGTTTAAAAAAGCTAGTACTATAGGTATCCATGCAGGCATTCAGACGACTTTGCATGCTTTTTAAATACTTACATATTGTATTTGGTACTCTGGGTTTCCGCTTCCTTCAATTATTATAAATCACAGTGTTTAAAGCTTGCATGTGTTTTCAGTGCAAGACATCACAGGTCACTTCCTATTTCATATCATGCTAATAAGCATTGGTTCCATGTCAAGATGTATAAAATGAAAATTGTTGCATGATTTTTTTTTTCAGTTTCAAGCTTCATGTTAAGACGTTTTTTATTAAATAATTTTTCATGTGTTTCCGCCCGGCTGAAAAACGGATATACTTAAACGAATAGATAATTCCTTATAGCATTTTTTTTAAGTCTGGGTCACAGGGTCAAAAAGGTATTGTTTTGGTTATAATGTACCTGCCAAATACGAATGCCCTTGGATATCCTTTCTTATGTATTCAAAGGTTGTGACTAACTGAAGGTTTTGCTTTTGTGACAGATAGACTGACTGACTGACAGACAGATGGATGCGATTTAATGCCAAATTTGCTGAATTTTGTTAAGTGCTCCAGAGAAGAAATTATTGGTTTCAATAAAGTTAGAATCTGCATTTAGTAAAATGACCAATGGAAAGTAGGAAAACTTGAGTTTACTACATAAAAGTTTAATTTTGGTGTATAATTACAGGTCACTGTACTCTAAGATCAAATACACTTCGTGCATATGAGAGCATTTTCCTGTTTTCAATTCTCGAACTTATGAATAAACCCTTGTATTCATAAATATGACTAAAGCTATCAATATCATACATCGGGTCTTTGTTTCCTGCTTTTCACTTACCCTCTGTAACACACTTGCTGATTTCCTTCACGGGGTAGAATAGGTTTATTGTAACTTTTGTACTATAGTTTGATATATCTACAGAACTGTTGCATTATGGTTTTATATATTAGTTTTTGGTTACAACGCTATAGATCCTGCGCCGTACTGCAAGTAAGGTGCAAATTATGGTGCAAGAATGTCTGTACACTGCTTAGATGCAATGATGTAACCCTCGCCGATTTTTTTTTTCTGGACAGGGCTACAATTCCACAGCATCTTCGTAATTGTGCAAATATATTTTTAAGTACTGGCAATTGCAGACAAAATAATTTGTTTTTAAATTCCACGTACATCTAAATAGACGATTTTTTTATTTACTGTCGATAGAATATCCCACTTAATTAATGTGAAATCCATATAATAAAACAAGTATTGCTTTATTATGTTTATTATATTATATAACAATTATTGCCCTTCGGGTTCGGTGAATTGTTTTATTATATGATTCACTGATAAAATGATACAGCTCATTACTTATTAAATTTTGCATTTAATTAAGTCCTAGCCAAATACAAGAGAGAAGCAGAATTAAAATGTGAATAAACCTTACTAGTCGTATCGATTTGAAATGTTGTTTTTTTTTTATCACTTCAAGTTGCCATGAAAAAAATATATAAAGTCAGTCTCTTTTATAAGATAGATTTTGAAAGGAAGGAGTATTATCAGAGAAAACTGACAGCCAAAAAGTAAAAAAAAAACCGTTGTTCAGTAAAAGTGTTGCAGGGGGTCCCTGCATCTCCTCTTACCACCCTCACCCGAAAATATATATTCGCTTATGGTTTGTTCACCGACATATGAAAAAATCATAGTCGTTTAAACAGCTTTCCAAAACAATTTGTATCAATTTGGAATTTCCCAATCTATTTTTAGATCAATCATCTCTTATATGTCTCTGGATCAATGTACAGGAAATAAATCCTTGTGTTGACCTGGAACGTCACGTGCAGGTCAATACAACTTAGTATTTTTATTACATAGTTGGATCCCAGTCAATCAGAGAGATGGTAATAACTCAATCAAATAATAAATAAACTTGGTTTATGTATATCCATCAATTTCTTGTTTGTGTTAAGTACCCTTTCAAAGTTGACGGTAAAATTTTCCCAAACTTGGCCGGTACAATGAAGTCAATGCAAGTTATAAATGGTATAAAAATAAAGAGTTTCTGTAGTCACCTTATAACACCATGCAGTCCGACCCCTTAAAGCAACTTATTACTTATTTGGAAATATTTACATCCACTGAATATTTTCTTCTTTATTTCTTAAGAAAACCCATTGTGTTCATCACTGCATGAACTACATTAGGCATATCACCTATACAGATTTCTTGATCAGTGGCCGTTCCATCAATGAAACGTACAAAGACGTTCGCATCATTAACACAATAATTAATATTTTTAATCCTACTTAAAATGATAATTTAAACAGATATAAATATAAACAATAAAATGTCTTTCTTTGTTTGTTATTACTGGAATTAACGGTTGCAGCTATTGCAGAAAAAATTTACATATCCCGCTTACGCGGGTTATGTATTTTTTCTGCAACAGCTGCTTCTGTTAATTCCAGTAATAACAAACAAAGAAAGCATTTTATTGTTTAAGTACACACGTACGTCTCAAATACTACGATTTATGTCTACAATGATTAAGTGTAATTGAAAAGCAATTAAAAAAAGTATGAACTAATGTAAGTTATAAATGGTATAAAAATAGGGAGTTTCTGCAGATCTGTTGTTAGTAATTTTCACCCTATAACACCATGCAGTCGGACCCCTTAAAGCAACTTAAACTTATTCGGAAGTACACATGTACGTCTCAAATACTACGATTTATGTCTACAATGACTAAGTGTAATTGGAAGGCAATTTCAAAAAAAAGTAAGAATTCTTTGTTGATAAGCTTTAGAAATTATTGCTTAAGGATTTAAAAACGAAAGAAAAAACAGTTACTATAATATCAAAGTGTGCACTGTGAAAATGCTTTTGACTGAATTATACCAAAATGACCATATTAAGTTTAAATCACTGAGGTCGAGCTTTATTACCATTGTACAAACAGACACAGCCATCAAGTACAATAAAAACGTTTTTCCGGAAAGGGGTTTTCAAACTAGAAGTTGCAGAATCAAACTTGAAACAACAATCGCATACTTTTCAAAGATGTAAAACATCTTCAAAAATAATCAAAGAGATAAAAAAAAAATCCTAATGTACATAACAAGCAATAGCTTTTCAAAAAGCTGGTGAGCTGTCATTCATAATAAACTTTATTATAAATAATCAAAGGGGTTTACACTTTCTTAAAGGCTTTGTTTTATTTTAAAATTTAGTAATTAATAATATTTTTTCTTACCGTATTTAACTAGCTGCTTTTCGAATTTTCGTAAATAACAGCTAACGGGAGATTCTGCCGAACTTTGTGTGTGTTTTCCTACTTTTCAAAAACGGATATTTATACATGTACATTTAAGTGTTTATTAATTATACTCTCACTCTCGCGCTTATAAAAAACATTTCGAGATACAACCACTTAAAGTTTCATATTTTCTCACGTGTGCAAAATTGAATAATAACAAGCTACGGAAGTAAATTGTACATCATAAATGAAATATGATACATCAAATTTCTTGAATTTGCTTTAAAATATCGAATTTAGTAATCTATATGTGCTAACCAAATGAAATTCTTTGTGATGAATTCAACGAATCTCTTAATATATTATACATGTTACAAATTCATTATAACGAAGTAGTTATAATTTAAAAATTTGTTAAATATTCGTTATTTACAAATTCATTTTATTAAATAACAGATTAATCCCAGATGCAATGAATAGAAACAATATTTAACTTTAATCACATTTATTGTAAAACAATGATTACATTTTGTGGCATGTACATTGTATTTGTCACAATCTATTTATACATAGATGTATAAATAAATACCCCGGCGGAATCCAGGGAATTACTACCTGCCTACTGACCTGGCGCGATAGCACACCCACAAGTGACTGTGGTGGGAACAGACCTTTTGGTACCAATAAGATTGAATGCCACATGGAATGAATGAATGAATTCAATTAAGTTCTGACTCAGGCCCTCACTCTATACCTGTCTCCCCTGGAATACAACAACAACATGAGGATAACATCAAGCTAGTCCCTCAGGTACCTCTGAGGTAACCCCCAAATCTTCCCCAGTACTGAGGATAGATTACCCAGAGTTTTGAGCCAGACATGGTAGAAATCCTCATTCGGGGTAATCCCTGAACTCTGCCGCCCCCAACCCAGATTGTGACTTAATTAAAGTATGTCACTCGTGAAATTTGTTAAATCAAGGAGTTTTTGAGAAGTATATTTTTAATAAGTACTCAGTACTCATAAAGTGTTACTCAAAATAGCAGAGGAAATAAGGGGTCAGTGTGCATCTTACTATTCTACGGTACAATTAACTTGACCTTTTAATTTAGCCCTTAAATTTAAACACTTCATTTATGATATTTCATCAGATGTAACCATGGCAATAATTATAATCTTATTTTACGTAAAATGTTTTGAATAATATTTATCATTGAAAAAATCTTGAAAATTAATGCGCGTCAATTTTTGTGTGACCTTGTGGCACTAAAAATTAACATGTTTGGGGGTATTAAAAACTAAGTAAGTAATAAAACATTTTCTTATATAGAACTTTTTACGACTTAATTGCTGATCTTTCACAAGTATTGAGTAGTTTAAAAGAGGGAAAGAAAAAGTTGAGGTCAGTGATGTTAATTTTGAAATATTGGTCAAAATATGTGATTTTCAGGCGAAAAATGGTGTAAATTTTATCATGACCTATTTTACATATCTTCACATTTTGGCAAAGTTCCTTGAGGGAAAGTGTAAAACTTGTTCTAAAAATATATATCAAGACCTATATTAAATATT